TCATGATTGACTGCTCCTGCACGCGCCCCCTACTGGGGATCGAGCTGCAACCAGACATGTGCCCTGACTGGATTTGAACCGGGACCCCCAGTCTGCAGACCAATGCTCTAGCCACTGAGCAAAACCAGCTAGGGCATTATTTCCTTTTTATATTATTTTATTACAACTATACAAAATCCTAAATAGTTCATGTTCTCTATATTAGTAGCTTTTAGTTTTATAAAAGTATATTTTACACAATCTTTTGGGAATTACAGGATTTTTTCCCCTTAATATTCATCCATGTTGTTGGCTATTATTCTAGTTCATTCATTTTGACTTCTGTTGACGAATATCCATTTTTGCTTCCAGTTTTTGCTGGAAACAGGATGCCATGCATAGCCTAGGTTTCATGTGCAAGTGTTTCTCTTGGATATATTCTAAGAGTGGACTGGCTGGATTGTGAGGCATATAAATATTCACTGTAGGAGGGAATGCTAACTATTTTCTAAAGTGGTTTCACTTATTTACATTCTCCAATACTTGGCATTATCACTTAAAAGTTTTGCAAATTGAATGGGTGTAAAATGTCATCTCAACATGTCTTGATTTGTATTCCCCTGATCATTAAAGAATGTTTATAGGCTCTATCTTTCTTTCTTCTCTGAAATGGTCTAACACATAAACATATTTTTAACATAACCTAGTACTATTGTGATACCCAACAACATTAACAATGATTCCTGGCATTCTATTAGAAGTGAATGCATACCAAATGTGCTTCCACTGATTCCATTTCTTTTTTCATTTATTTATTCAACAAACACCCATACCAGGGCTACAGGGGTCCCCTCAGAATATCTTCCTCACCTGAGGATTCACTGGAGGAGGAGATATTTGAACTTGGTTTTGAAGTGTAAGCAGGCCTTCCCAGGTGAAGGGCAGCACGACTTCTTCCCCGTTTACCCCAGTGACATCTCCCAGAAGGGCAGGGCATCTGCAGAATTTCCATGTTGGAGATGATAAGGGGCAGCAAACTGGTTGAAGGGCAGAATCCGTGTTGTCTTAAAGCTACATTTGCAAACTAAGAGGGTATCACTATATAGGTTTCATTTTATGAGGAAATAAAAACAATAGTTTCTTAAAGATGTTTTTATTGGCATATTGCATTAGGTTTAGAAAAAATAACAAGGCTAAGGGGGGAAGTTGGGGGACATCTGCAATACTGTCAACAATAAAAAGTGCAGTTCAAAAATTTTATTATTCATACATATATTTATTTTATTTTGGGTAGGTGGAGTGGAAGATAATGTAGATTATGAGAACATTCAACCCCTACAGCCAACCTCCACAAGCACAGTAGAGGAAAAGCTAACACTGACTTCTCCCCTTTTTCCTCCAGTGCTATATCCTCGGCGGGGGGTGGGGGGGTGGGGGGGGAGGGGGAGAGTGCCTGTACATCCCTGATTTTTCCCTTCTCCCCTCAGGGTACGCCTGTAACCATCCTGACTTCTCCCCCCCCCCCCCCCCCCGCCGCCCCCCATCCTGTGTTATCTGTCAGGAGATGATAGCATGGCACCTCTGCCTCTTTCCAGAGGCCCCTCGGTTTCTCTGAACATTATTACACAAATCTATAGACCAAAGACCCCCTCCTTCGGAAAGCGTGCTTCCCGCCACCTGTGAGACAGTTCCATCGCTGGGCTCTGTGACTTAGAGGCTTCCTCATCCTCAGTAGGGAATGGACACTCCTTCAACATGGTGTATCCCACGACGAGGGAGCGCTACCTGGGCGCGGCCATATTCCCCAGTGCTACCAAGGGGTGCCAACTGCATACCATCTCCTTAACTCTTGGCTGCCTGCGGCTTCAAATGTGGTTCTGCGCATGTGCAGAAACACGCCCCCTTCCTGAGACGCCCCGAATCCCGAGAAGGGGCGATGCTAGGGGTGGTGACCGGAAGCGGCTGTGGTTCTCAGCCACCGTTGAACAGTTGTTGTGAGGAGGATCTCAGTGCTCTGTGCCGGAGGCGTTTCGCAGGGATGCGGCCTTGGGGAGGGTGAGTGCTGGGGAATTTTGTGTGGTCAGTGATGCACTCGGTTGTCTAACTGTAGTTGGATAATTCGCTCATTATTTTGCAGGATTTGCTCTTTTCTCATGTCAATGTTAAGGTCTTAAAGTTCACTAAAACCCACAAGGTTTGGTGCATTGTGTGCTAAGTGTTTTCTAAGAGTTGAAATGTTTTTCTTCTGCCCATGAGTTATTTAGAAATGCGTTTTCAGTTTCCAAAAGTTTATTTAATAGGTTTCTAACCTGAGAAAAATGTGGTCCGAAAAATGTCTATGTGAAGCTCATTCCTTGAAATATGAGGGGCTGCATGGCCTAGTACGTGGTGAATGTTTATAAATGTTCCATATATAAATTGACAATAATACTTAATTATTTAGTTGTCAGTTGCATTGTACAATATTTCTACACCTTTTTGTCTGCTTCTTGTACTTCTGGGAGAGGAGAGATAAATTTTCTACTGTGATGCTGATTTGTCCATTTCTCCTTCCTACTGTCCATGATCCATTTGAGTTAAGTTTCATATGAAGTTAGAGGCTTAGATTGAGGTTCTTTTGTTTGAATGTCCAATTACTCAAGCACCATTTATTGAAAACACCATTCTTCCTCTGTTGATATGTTTTGCATCTTTATCAAAAATAAATTGGCTGTAGTTGTGTGGGGCTATTTTTAGGTTCTCTATTTTGTTCCATTGATCTATGTCTCTGTCTACTTTTATCATGAATAAGTGTTGAATTTTGTCATACTGTGTATTAATTTATATGATCTTGTGATTTTTTATCTTTAGCCTGTTAATATGAGGGAATACACTGGTGATTTTTGAATATTGAACCAGCCTTACATTCCTGGAATAAAGCTTACTTAATTGTGGTGGTATAATTCCTTTTATGTATTGCAGGAATTGACTGGCTAATGCTTTTTCCCCCCAGGATTTTTGCATCAAGTTCATGAGAAATACTGATCTACAGTTTTCCTTTTTTTGTATTGTCTTTGTCTGTTTTAATATTAGGGTAATACTGGCATCATAGTATGACTTGAAAAATGTCCACTTCTATTTTCTGGAAGAGATTGTGTAGAATTATGCTAATTTTTCTTTAAATGTTTGGTGGAACTCTCCAGTGAAATCATCTAGGTCTGGAAATTTCCTTTTGGAAGCTTTTTTATTATGTCTTTAGTTTCTGTAGTAGTTATATGACTATTCAAATGATCTAGTTAATATCTTTTCAGAGTAACTATTTAATAGTGGGTGAGTTGTAGGAGTTTGTGTTTTGTGAGGAATTGGATTATTTCATCCTAGTTGTTGAACTAATGTGCATAAAGCTGTGTGTGGTATTCCCTTTCCATTTAATAGCTGAAGGATCTGTAGTATATCTCCTGTTTCATTTCTGCTGTGG